CCGAACGTGCAGGCTCAGCGGCCATGGCTCACGGGCCCAGCCACTCCGCGGCACGTGGGATCCTCCCAGACCGGGGCACGAACCCGCGTCCCCTGCATCAGCAGGCGGACCCCCAACCACTGCACCACCAGGGAAGCCCCTAACCGTAGCTTTAAATAGACTAGCCGACCCTGTGAAGTGACACGGAAAGTCATCTCTGAAGCATTTGGGCATTCTTGGGCAGGGTGGAGTAGCACAGGTTCAAATACAACTTTAGGGATCAAAGAAGAAACACAGTTGTTCTCTTCAAATGAATGTGACATTTCACAGAGGAGAGTCTAGTCGCTTTTGTCCTGTGGCCTCCAGCTGCCTCATTTTCACCCCGCCCCAGGATGTAGGAGAGGCCGGCTTGGCTTTGGTTGTTTTTTTATGCCCCCTTTCTCTGTCTTCCCTCTGCCACAGCTCCCAGTCAGTCGCCCTCAGGCCACCTCTCCCTAGTGCCAGTGTGTCCCCTCAGGTCCTGAGGCCAGGGTAGGACAACCCTAGGCCCATCACCACTCAAGTATTTGGTGGAAAGTCTCCATAACTTTAGTTTCTGTCCCATGTCTGTCTAATCCTGATTGGATTGGAAGCACCAGTTAACCCCCCAGTGGAGCGCCTTCTTTGGGAGAGAGTGCCCTCCCGGCTCGAGACTGGCTAAACGCCTCCCAGGGTCCGTTAACTTGAGTGGACCGCGGTCTTGCTGAGAGCCATTAGAATGTGGAGGAAGCTCCTGGCGCTTTATTCCTTTCCTCCATTCTTTTTTTTTTTTTTTTTTGCGGTACGTGGGCCTCACTGCTGTGGCCTCTCCCATTGCGGAGCACAGGCTCCGGACGCACAGGCTCAGCGGCCATGGCTCACAGGCCCAGCTGCTCCACGGCATGTGGGATCTTCCCGGACTGGGGCACAAACCATGGTCCCCTGCATTGGCAGGCGGACTCTCAACCACTGCGCCACCAGGGAAGCCCCTTTCCTCCATTCTTGCACTTGTCTGTTCCTTCCCTAGCCAAAATACACGTGCCTTGAGGGGCTGAGTACGTAGTGTGTATTGGGTGTGAAAAGCACCCTTTACAGTGAACTTCTAGGAGATGTATTGGCTGCTGTGACTCTGTATACCTATGTACATTTAGGCCCAGCACTTCTTAGATCCTTTATAGATAGTTCCAGAACTCATATTTGTATCATACTGTGTCAATTAGGAGATCTCCCTCCTTAGTTAAACTTGAAGGGAGACTTACATTGGGTGATTCTTTTTTTTTTTTTTAATCTTTTTTGCTCTTCTTTCAAACATTCCTTTTTTGGTACTTGCTGCTGATTATCCTGTCAGGTTATGTTTTTGACTGTTTCCTGCATCATGGACAGTCTTCTTTGGAACTTGTTTACTCAGTAAACAAGATTTCTCTATGAAGATGGTTTTGGTTTTATGGAAGACAAAATTTGTTTCTTTATATGTGGCATTTTCTTTGGCCAGTTTTTGGAATCGCACGTGTACCCACAGTCTCCCTGCAGGAATTCATCGTACATTCTTACTAATTCTTTGACCACCTTGTAATGAAATCCTTCCCGAGTAGATGTGGTTGAATTTTCATTAATTTATACAAGTAGTGTTCATTACATGGCATAAAGCCACAACACTTTCACTGGTTTTGTGCATATTGAAAGTAGCATGTGGGACTGCCCTGGTGGCGCAGTGGTTAGGAATCCGCCTGCCAGTGCAGGGGACATGGGTTTGATCCCTGGTCCGGGAAGATCCCACGTGCCACGGAGCAACTAAGCCCGTGTGCCACAACTACTGAGCCTGTGCTCTAGAGCCCGTGAGCTACAACTGCTGAGCCCATGAGTCACAACTACTGAAGCCTGTGCACCTAGAGCCTGTGCTCCGTGGCAAGAGAAGACACCGCGATGAGAAGCTTGTGCACCGCAACTAAGAGTAGCCCCTGCTTGCCGCAACTAGAGAAAGCCTGCGCGCAGCAACGAAGACCCAACGCAACCAAAAATAAATAATTAAAAAGAAAAAGAAAGTATAGCATGTGTGTTCTGTGATAAGTTTATTGCTGTGTGGAAAGCACGTCTGCAGAGGGTAGAGTTGGTTGGCAATGTTTTTTCCCAGCTGGTGAGCCCCCAGCGTCCATCTGTGGGCACCAGCAGGGCTGCTCCCTCCTGCACCCTAAGCAGCTGCCAGTAGGTTAGGAAGCAGCAGTGCCGAGCGGGCTGGAAATGGAGCGAGGGTGTTAACAACAGGCCTGCATGAACGCGGAGTCTAGCCTGAACTTGGCAAACTGCAACTGGCCGCCTAATTACGTAAATGAAGTTTTATTGAAACACAGTCCTTTCATCTCTGCCTTGTCTGGCTGCTTCTGTGTTTCACAGCAGAGGTGAGTGGTTGGAGCAGAGGCTGTATGGCTCGCAGGGCCGAGATGTTTACTGCCTCACCCTTTACAGAAAGGTCGCCGACCCCTGTCTGACCTGATACTGTGTAGAGAAAACTCCAGATAAATTCGTGTCTTGGGATGACTTATTCTGTGTAGTACCTGACAGATTAAGAAGTAAAATCATTTCTATTTTTCCACAGTAAATTTTGTTAGCAACAAAATAGTTTTACTTTTCTTGACTTATAATAGAAACAGTTCTTGACTAATAATGAGAAATAGTTCTTATAACTTTTGTCTAAAACTGTATTTCTTGTTAAAATGTTTTCTCCTTTTTTGTAGTGTTGAATATGAGACATTTGATATCTTGGAGGATGAAGAAGTAAGTTCTATGTTTTATGTTTTGTCCTGTATCTTAGTTTTAATCATTAGGATTATCATTTAATCCTAATCTGACAGGAAGGTTTCAGGGTCCCTGTTGTTTCTGTAGGTTCGGCAAGGATTAAAAACTTACTCCAATTGGCCAACATACCCTCAGCTGTATGTGAAAGGAGAGCTTGTTGGAGGATTGGACATCGTTAAGGTGAGGTTGGGATTCGTTCGTCTGGGAGCCCAGAGAACTGAAAACCCGGGCGCGTTTGAAAATTATTTCATTGGGGTTGTCCTTGATGTTCTTTCCTGGCCTCATATCTAATCACTTCTAGACCAGCATTACCATCTTTACGACCATAATATCTGTCGTTCTGTCAGCTTTCACCTGATCCGGGCAAATCAGCCCCCTTACTGTGTGGCCTTTCCTGCCACGCTGGGTCCTTTCACAACCTCCTCCAGCTCTTGAGGGACTGCTGACCAGGGTCTGAAGTGTGACTGGGCATTCAGAGCGGCTCCGGGTGTGGCCGAGCTCAGAACTTGATTTATTCACACTGTACTAAGTTCTTCCATGTTTTCAGCTTTCCTTCACCCTGTCTCTGCTCTGGATTTCCTTGCATGTCTCATATGAAGTGTGCTTTCTGTACCCTTCAGGGCCTTTCTCTATGAGTCACTTACAGAGTCCTTCCGGCCAGAAGTGTTCGCTCTGCCCCTGCTCTTGAAGTTCTCCTGTCCTTTTCTGTTTATATTATCGTAATTATGTTGTTTTCTGGTGTCATTTTATTTTGCTTTACTCACATGCACTTGGGTGATGGAGTGAAGAGCACCGGGCTGAGGGCCCGAGGGCCTGAGACCTAGTGTTGGCCTGGCCCTGCTGGCTGTGTCCCCGAGGCCTGAGGTCATCTCCAAGTCCCCCTCTGATTCTCAGATGCTAAAACACTGGAGAGCTCTGTCAGATCGTAAGCGTGTTTCGAGGACGCTGTTTCTTAAATGTCTTTGATGATGAATTTCCTTCTTTGGTTTGCTTTAAGTAAATTCTAACTGAATTTTAAACGAACATGACTTTTCTCATAGAATTTCAAGTCCAGAACTTAGGGCACCCCTACCTGGTAGCACCTGTGTGCTCTGGTGCTCTCCTGATTAGCCCAGGACCCCAGAGGGCAGCTGCAGCTTTCACGTCCTCAAACCCTACCCCCCGACCCAGGCCCACCCTGGGCGTCATGGTGTGGGAGGAGGGTGGCAGTGGGTGGGCACAGGAGGGCCTGGGCAGGAATGCAGGGCTCTGCTCCAGAAGCGCCAGCCTTCACGAAAGGTGGGTGGTGGAGCTGCCGGGGCTCAGGCCCTCCTCGGCCTCGCCGGTTAGAGGATTTTCCCTGAGGTCAGATCCCTGGTATTTTAAGTGGAAAGCAAGTGGTAAGTACTGCTGTCTCTAGTTATAAAATGAAAGTTTTTAACTCATGCTTTCATACTGGGAAAGACCTCTGGCCCAGCCCTGAGTGCCGGTAGGTTTTCTGAACACAGGGCCATGGTTTCATCTGCCCAGATTTTGTCTCCTGTCCAGTTCCAGGTTTGACATCACACTTCTTGAGCAAGCCAGTGAGGCATTTCCCCAATAAACTGTCTCATTCCTGGAGGGAAAAAAAAAGGTTTAACACAGTGGCTTTTGAATAGCCCTGAGGCAACAAAAATAGATCTGCATTCATTATCTTATATGTATTTTTAATTTTTGTAAGAAACAAACTGTCTTCCGACCAGAATACCCTTGAGCCTGTTCTTGTCTGAATGTTTGATGGCCTGTACCTCAGCCACTGGTAGCTCTTGGGGAGATACAATCAATAAATCTCATTTAATTCTAAGGCTGAGCTGCACAGGCAACTTCTTCTTAGGTATATAACAGGGTGTTCGTTATATGACTCTCTCTGTTCACCTGCTAAGAGCTTACACATTTGGAAATGTGCGATAGTGTTAACATTTTTCTTTGAGAAGATAACTGGGAATAGTTGTTAGGTTGCCAGTTTGGTCTGTTTCTGGCAGAGGGCAGTTCTTGACCTTTAGGTCACTTAAAGCAGCGGTCCCCAACCTTTATGGCAACCAGGGGCTGGTTTCGTGGAAGACAGTTTTTCCACGGACCGGGGGCCAGGCTGGGTGGCTCAGGTGGTGACGCGAGCGACGGGGAGCGGCAGGTGAGGCTTCACTCGCTCGTCTGCCGCTCGCCTCCTGCTGTGCGGCCCGGTTCCTAACAGGCCTCGGACCGGTACCGGTGTGTGGCCCAGGGGTTAGAGACCCCCAGCTTCAAGCCTCAGCTGTGTTGCCAGCGGGTTAATCCTGACTGCGCTCAGCAGGAGCCGTGAACGCTGTTTTGGTGGTTGAGTGGCGACTGAACGAATGAACGGCTCGGAGACTCGGTGACTCCACAGGCCAGTGTCCTGAGGAAAACATCTGCTGGTTAACACGCACACAGTGTGTTACTGTTACCTCCAAAGGGCGAACGGTTCATCACTGCAGACTGTTTGGATGCAGAAACAGTTGAGAGGCAGAATATTTAGATCCGTTGCTGTTTAACCCACTGGCTCACAGTCACAGCGGCGTCCGAAGGGCCTGCGCCATGCCAGGCAGGCCCCTCTGGCTCTTCGTGTAGGCCACCGCGTCTCATCCTCCAGTGGGTGAGGAAATGGACAGAAGTTAGGGGAGCTGTCTGCCCTGTCGCAGCCAGGGAGCCGTGGCCAGATTCCACCTGAGGGCCGCCCGGCCCACCCACCTTGCCGCGTGGCCTGCTGCTGCTTCTGCACCGTGTGCTCTGAGAGGCCCTGCTTGGCCTTTTGGTGTAGCTGGACGTGTGCTTGTTAAATGGGTAGAGGATCCCGAGGCCTCGCCATCAGAGTTTTGTGTGACAGGATCGCGCCTGTTTGGGTTCAATACAGAGCGCAGTGCGAGTGGATTTTAGTGGTTTTATTCATTGATGTTCATGCAGCTTAGGAAGAACCTGAAATGTTCTATCAAATTAAGTGTTTACCTTAAACTAGAAAATCTTATTTATCCTCCATGGTCATGTTTTAAACTTGATGGCTGTATTCCATATTTTAGATCTGAAAGATAGGCACAAAAAACTTTCTGAATTACTTCATCTCTTTAACGGTTTCTGGCCTTTACATTTACATACTAGTACCATGGCTTTTCCAAGTTTGGTTGAAATAGTGAAGCCTGTTTACCACCTGTAGGGCCGCAGGCGTCATGTGCATTGTATCTGAGTGGACCTTAATATCACAGCGTTTCTTTTTTCAGTCACGCAAAGTTCATTTTCCCTGTTTATTGCTGTTGTTTAAATAGGAAGCTTCATCATGTTGCTCTCATTGCTGTATTCACTAATGCTAAAACATCTGTTGGTGTTCGTTAGAATGCCTTTTAACTTTAATTTTGTACTGTGATAGTGTACCCAGTTTTTAATGGCATGATCCTTTGTTCAAGTGTGTTGGTGGACTAGAGTTTTCATCCAATAAGGTGTTTCTTTGGGTTCTCTGATATAGATGCGATCTTTCATTGTTTAGATGTTTTCATCTTTTATATATACGTATGCATGATATTGTTTCCTTTTTTATTTTTAGGAACTGAAAGAAAATGGTGAGTTGCTGCCTATACTGAAAGGAGAAAATTAATAAACGTTAGACTTGGTGCCCAGCTGCTGCAAGAAAGACTTCACTCCAGTGGAGCAGTTCACGACTGAGTCCTCAGGAGAGGACTAGCTGTAGAAAATGCTCGTCCCCAGCTGCACTTTGTGTATTTCACAAGGTTGGGCCAAACACACGTATGTGACGTTTTTTCCACCAAAAATAGAATGCAATAAACACCTTCAAGTTCAGTTAAAAATAATTGTGTAAAAAAGTGTGTCTTTACAGCGGTGTTAGACATATAGTTACTGTAATTAACCCACTTTTCATCTCTTTTTCATCACATGTGGGCATCTTGAAGCAGTTAAGAAATAGACAGTCTTCAGAGAGTGAAGAACTGTGAGAGTCTGAACCACAGCAGTATTTAGAGCCACTCATAGACCAAACCAGTGGCTCCCCTCACTGGCCGAAGATCTCTTTACAGCTCAGAAAATTCCGCTGCAGACCTTGTCCTGACAGCATCACTGAGCTGGGCCTGGTGAAGTCGCAGTGGCAGTGTCAGGCGTCTGCAGATTGAGGACCCGTCTCAGAAAGCCCCAGCAGCGTAGTACCAAGAAATGTTTGAGAGGAAGGTGACTTCTCAGCGGGTGTGTCAGCAAGGCTTCTTTCGTAACTTGTACAAGGATGGTAGCCTGGCAGCAGAATGTTTTCGTTGAGTTGTGCATTACACATCACAACTTATTTTAATCATTGTATTGAAAGTATTGATTTAGCCCTTAAGTATGTGGAGAAATCCAGAATTCCATGAAAATTTCAATAGTATTTTTATTTAAAAAAATTTTTTTGTGGTACGTGGGCCTCTCACTGTCGTGGCCTCTCCCGTTGCGGAGCACAGGCTCCGGACGCGCAGGCTCAGCAGCCATGGCTCACGGGCCCAGCCGCTCCACGGCCTGTGGGATCTTCCCGGACCAGGGCACAAACCCGCATCCCCTGCATCGGCAGGCGGACTCTCAACCACTGCGCCACCAGGGAAGCCCTCAATAGTATTTTTTATCCTGAATCCAACGTACTGAAAAAACAGTTGCTCCAGTAGGCCTGTGCTGTGCATGCCTTAAGCAGACGGTTGAATCCACTGTCATGGTTCTTAGACCTTTTTGGTACCCGTGGCACATGTTAGTCTCATTGAGTTTTCCCAGCCTGTCCATCTGAAAACTGTCTGGTGGTTGTAAGGAAAGGGGTACAGAGGCCAGCAATTTAGGTAAGAGAAACAGGAGGAAATGCAGGTTAGCCCTTCACCAGGGCGCTGGCTCTTCCTGTCTCTTGAGCGACAGGCCATTTCTCTGCTTTTTGGTTGTGTGGAGAGGAGGGAGCTGATGCCCTGGTGTGTGTTACAGAGACATCTGCACGAGATCATAAAGGTGGACGTGGCGTTGCTTCCTGCCGGGAGGAGGACACCCATCATGGTGGGTATTCCTGCCACTGTGTGTAATCAGGTGCTTCTCTTCTGGGCATTAGTCTATGAACTACATTTTTCCACTTAAAATGAAAATAACTGTATAAGCAAACCTTTAAAATGCAGATGGAAATGGAATTTTGACTGAAATTTTATTAAGCCATTGGCTTCAGGGATGTGTGTGGCTCACAGAGGGGTCCCTAATTTCCTTGTGTGCTTTTCTCCTAAACCTAAATCGTCTGCACGCCGCTTTCATGATTTCTGCTCTCTCCACGAGTGCTACCTGCCCTGGTATATTTTCTACTAAGTCAAATTTTAACCTCACCTTATCCCAGGCAACAGTGTCTTTGCGATCACAACAGTATCTTTACTAGTTTTTTTTCTTTTTCCCTCTTGCCCATTCAGATAAACAAAATATATAACTTTTAACAAACACGCTGACCTCCAATTTGGGAACCATCCTTCTGGCCAAAGGTGTTGCTCTGATAATGTAAGATGCTACGTGTATTTTAGGACAGCCTTCCCTTCCTTCAGGTGACTCTTGCATGATGAAAAACTTTGACGGTATCATCCTTGTTTGAGCATCACGGTTTGGGTTGGGATGAGTGTTCAGAGTTTTTGGGGAGTTGTCCCTGTGTTGAACGTGAGGTTGTCCTCTTGAATTCTGTTAGTTTTTGGGTCTGTTGGCTCTAGGTATGTTGGAGTGACAGTGGCGCAGGTTTCTGTTTTGCAGGTGTTTCCAGCTAGACGTTGGGAAGGCCAAGTTGCCTCCATGCAAACTGATAGCCATTCCTCATTGACTCTTCTGGGTATATTGTAGGAGTAAGGCAGGTGATTCTTGTGCCTGGTGGAATGTCACATTCTATAGGTAATCCCCGATCAGATTTCCTAACCAGCAAGCCTGTCCTAGTCATAACGTTCTGTGAAAATTGTCATCTTCTCTGGGATCCACAAATCCTGGAGACAAAATAGTTCTCAGCACCCGAGAGACGGTTGGCAGGGAAGGTGACAGGGTGTCATTTGGATGTTGCAAATTTGAACTTTGTTGGGAGCAGACTTGCGGCAGGGGCTGTGTGAGGGTTTTAGCGAGTTTGTTTGGTTTGGGGGAGTAGGGGCGTGCGTGTGGATAGAAGGGCTGGGAAGCACTGTTGTCTGCTGGGGAGCCAGGGGCCTCTGCACGGCCCAGCCCTGCCAGCTCCTCGCCTACGTGGTTCCCTGTGCTTGAGTTCGCTTGTGACATGGGGCTCATGGTGGGCCTGGGGCTGGGAAGCGGCAGGTCACCGTGCAGGGTGCTGGGGATGCTGGTACTGGCTGCCGTTACAACTTCGTCTTTTAACCCCCAGGTCGCCCTTCAAGAAAGTGACTGATCCATGGGAACTGGGAGGGCTCACTGAGGAAGCAGGCAGCTCCCCGAGGCTCGTGTGTCGAACCTGGAGGCAACTTCCTTGCGAGGGAAGGGGTTTTCGGGAATTGGTATCCACTTGGGGAAATAGCTTTTAGTCCCTTTAGGAAGGGACTAAAAAAACCAAAACAAAAACCCCCAAAAACTCTGATTTTGCTTTGTAACCAGAAGTGGAAAGAAAAAATAAAACCAATGAAAGGAGTTGGGAATTTGGGTGAGGAACTTAGGGAGGTGAGTGAGTTGTTAGCACAAAGGCTCAGCTGCAGGCTTGGGCTGAGATTTCCGTCCGGGATTATGTGACTCCCTAGACCTGAGGCTCGCCTCCTCCACGCGGCCACCCCATCACGGTATATGGAATTAGGTTGCCTTTGTACCTGTAATGGGAAATGATGGGTGACTGGCCGGGGCCCTGGGCTCTGGCTGAAGTCTGTCCCTCTCCTGAGCACTGGGGAGGGCAGTTCATCCTTCCTCTTTCACCACCTGTTGCCTCGTAGAGTCCAAGGATCGATTTGAAGAAGGCCTAGGAGGTAAATGTGCGGAGACTTTTGCTAAAATAATGTAAATGGCCCTTGGAACACAAAAGGATTGGGGGGGTTGGCCTTGCCCTGGTGATGACGGGGACCTTGTGTCATCCTGTGGGACAGCTGAGCCTTGCAGGCAGGGCAGCCGTGCTGTTCCTGGCCTCGGTCAGGAACTTCAGGCCGTCCATCTTGACTGGTCAGTAACTTGCTCAAGAAGGAAGAAAATGATTTTCCATTTGCAAACTTTACAGAAAACCTGATGAGTTTGAGATAGAGACAAATTTTTTAAAATAGGAAGCATATGTTTATAATTAGAAAATCTCATTGTATTAACTTATTTTTAAAGAAAGCTACGTTTCTAGTCATGCTAAGAAGTTTAATTGACCTCTGAAACAGCTGTAATAACATTTGAATGACTTGATGCAGGTAATCATTACCTGCCTCGTTGGAGGGAATTACAAAAATAAGACTTATCCCGTGGCCAAGTCAGAAGTTCAAAGCTTAAGACTGAAATATGAAGCATGATTTTCGATTTAGGTTTTAATTAAAGTCAGTTTTTGTTTTTGTTCTTTTGCGGTACGCGGGCCTCTCACTGTTGTGGCTGCACAGGCTCCGGACGCGCAGGCCCAGCGGCCATGGCTCACGGGCCCAGCCGCTCCGTGGCATGTGGGATCCTCCTGGACCGGGGCACGAACCCATGTCCCCTTGCATCGGCAGGTGGACTCTCAACCACTGCGCCACCAGGGAAGCCCCTAAAGTCAGTTTTCTTAAATGTGACAATAGGTACCTGTTACCACAATTCACATATTTTTTTCCAAAATAAAAGTAATTTGGTTCTTTGCAGATAAATTCATTTTTTTTATACCCCATTTCAGACGTTGAGTTGTAGGAATGGATAGAAGTTGGTGCCTCATTCACCAAAATGGGTAATTTCAAAGACAGGGTTTTATAGTTAGTAACCCCACTCTGGCTTCAGAATGCTAGAGGCTTTGTCTGATGTTCACAGACGTTCAGATCCGGAAGACGTGAGTTCGGCTGGCTTCGGGGCATTCGGGCCCAACAGGCAGGGCGTGTGTCGGGTGTGTGCCCGGGCTCCCCACGCGCCGCCTTGCTGAGGCCGCAGCATCCCCCAAGGAAGGCTCCGGTGCATCTAAGTTACTTCCCAGGGGTCCAGGGCTAGCCGCGGGGGTCTGAGCCAGGAGGGACACCCAACTCCAGCCCTGGGCACTGTGCTTTGGGCATCGCGGCATGATGGCTGCAGCCAGAGGTCTTGGGCTTCCAAAATCCGTCAGGAGTACCGTGGCTGTGTAAAAATTAGGTGCCAGGACTCGGCCCTTATGACCAAAAAGGCCTTTCGTGTGCTCCCCCACCTTCATCTAAATGTTTTTCACTTGTAGATAATTTTTAACCATCTCCTAAAACAACGCATTTTGTTTAAGTTATGTTTCCCGTATGAACCCCTAGAGGGAGAGCCTGACCCTTTGTGGGGTCGCCTGGGGGATGCCTGCCGCGTGTCCTGGAGTTAGGGGGTTAGGGTTCCTGTCTCCAGGAACCAAGTACAGCCCAGCCTTCAAACCCAGGCCTGGAACCTGGATATGGAGTCTGAAGCTTGGTATTTTTTTTTTTACAGTTTTTTATGCTATTGCTCTGTGTTTTGTGTTTTAAAAAAGGGCCATGATGACAGATAGGAGCTTGGATGCCCTCAGAGAGCCCCTCCCTCCCTCCCTCCTCCCTCTAGAGGAAGGTTCCAGGCCATCTGGTGCAGGCAGGGAAGAGGCCCCAGCTGTTTCTGGGCCCACAGTGGAGATCTGGCCAGGATTGATGCAGTCTAGGGCACTTGTCCCTCATGTGTCCTGAGGGTCTCACTCCAGCGTCATC